TATCTCAGTTCCTGTAAGACAAAAAATACACCAATATAGATACACACGGGAATAAAATAAAATTTATCATTTTCTAAACTGTACGAGACAGTGTATCTAACTGAGGAAGACTGAATGACGTAGTATTATAACATTTTAACATAACCTTCAATATCTAAAATTTAGACTTTTGATTTTTATCTAAGATACGAATAGAATGGACAAAAAATTTTGTTACATTCAGTACAGATTGTTAAAAATTGGATTAAGGACGTTTTTCACGTAATATCAAAACTATCAAATTTTAACCACACCAACACGTATTTAGAAATTGTTTGAGGGTAGGGATAAGGCGTTGAATCACGAACATGAAAGTGGGGAGGGGTGCCTCGCTCTTTCTTTGGGGTTCTGGGTTTCCGATGCTTTCCTACTATTTGCTGTATATAAGCATATACAGCTAAAACTTGTTCGTTCGTAGAGCCCTTTTGTTGCTAAGAAAATTCTAAGGAACCTCAAATATTTTGAATCCTCATAAAATATACATAACCCGTAAACAATGATGCATAAAAGATTTGCTTATTAATTTGTCTCTCTACAATATTATAATCATAAACGACATAGACCATAAAACTACATTTCAGTTGTCAATCTTGAGTCTGAATAAAATGGAAAGGAAATTATTTTTTTCATCAACATATTGTCATTTCTGTGTATTAACAAAATATCTGTGGACTTATGAAATAACTTAATTAAAGTTGTTTTGTTCTTATAGAAACTTATACATACCTACATACCTATTGGTGTATTTCATTCGTTTTAGTATAAGAACTCGCGTTTGGGTTATTTTTACCTGTTATGTCTCATATGGGTAATATATTCACCCTATATTTTACGACGTCTTTGGTTTCCCCGAAAACATAAAATTTAAATTAATACAGAGCGGAAATGTGACGGACCTCAATGAACGTCATGTGCAAGCGGTCGTGGCGACCACAGACTCGCTGTGGCCCTGTTCGGAATTGATAGAGCGATGGAAGTGTTTCGCGATAACCGATGATTTCCAGGGGACGGCAGATGTTTCAGATAGAGGGTTTCGCCAACCCGCGAGTAACTGTTGGATGTATTTATTTTACGATCGATAAACGTAGGTACCTAAATTATAATATTGTTATGTTCATGCGCTGTGTAGGAATACGTATATCTACTTATGCACTATAGGCTTATATTTTGGCAGAATAAAATGCATACAAGTATACGCAGTTACTACCACGGAGAGGGCACTCAAGTTTTAAATCGAGATATGAAATTCATTTTGTATTCCGCAAAATGGATTGAAAAAAAAATGAGTCTACAAAGTATGCATTATTTTATTTATTGGGGTTTTCCACAGCAAACAAAGTCAAAACAAATAATGCATCACGCGTCTCTTAATATTGGCTGTTCGACTGCAAACATTGCTTTCAACGGTAATTTTGTAGAATTGATTTCGACATATTATGTAATCGAAGAAAAATACATTTTTGGTTGGAGCTCAGTTCAAAACTGTTTTTAAAATTCAAGATTGATCTTTTCTTTTGAAGTTTTAAATAAGATGACAGTAAAAATGGAATATAAAAATAAATTCATAGTAAATGGTTTCTTCAAAAATGTAAAAAAGTGTTTCTTCATTAGATGATAATAATATATCCATGGATAGTTTGAAATAAGCAAAAATGCGAGTACCATATACTACATGGATATAATATATTATGATATTAACAAAACACAGTAAACGTTATGTTATGGATACCGCAGTGTCAGTGATCGCGTGGTTTATGGTTCACTTGTTCATTATGTCGAGAAAAATTAAAAATAAATAATAATGCGTAGTAGGTATGTGGAACTACAGCGGTCACGGCACGGCGGTATAGATAGCCTCGAAAACGAGGTACAATCCCGCTAGACGGACAAAAATGCAGTTCGAGATCAACTTTGGAAAAATGCCTTAACGGTGATGGATGAGACCCCTATAGAGCCGTATCCTGTTCTCGTTTGACTGACTGTGAAAATATTATAACGTGTCGAACATCGCCGTCGTATGGTTTTCCGAGACGTGCCGACCTACCTAATTGATCGTTGTATAAAAAATAAACGCTTATGAAATTACACAAAAATATATGTAATATAGTCTTTAAATATTTTATAGGTACCTTAATAATTCATTTATTATTTAGACATTATTATGTAATTTTAATAGACATTAATGTTTTGTTGATATTCATTATTAATATGTTAAAATATCATTAAAAAAAAAAAGAAAAATTTTAATATTTATTTTTTTAGCGAACATCAATTTATTGATATGCATGAAAAAACAGTATATTATAGATGTATTTTAATGTACGAACAAGAAATGACAACAATAATTAAATCAATACTCTGTGTAAGTCTGTCATAGTTTTGGAAAAAAATAATATGTAAAATATAACATGCTTAGTTAATTAAAACCACTGTATATTATTTATTGATAGTTTGTATAAATATGTTATTCTATCCTACATTAGGTGATTAAATAACATTATCAGAAATATACTTTGGGCCTAAAACACATAACTAGTATGAAATGCTATTATTTAAATGACCAATAAATGATTTTCGAATTACGCAAGTTAGCTTTATGAAATTGACAATAGTTAAAAATAGAAAATATTATTAAAAAATGTATTTGATATTTTGATAACAATTAGTTAAGTTATATATGTAGGTATAATTAAAACTTTACTGTAGTTTGAACACAATAAGAGGGAAGTATTATAGTAGCTGCTAAGCAGACTGAAATATGATATAGCTTGCAGGTATAAGTATAGGTACATACAATAAATAAATCAACCTATTCAAATCTAAAATCTTCATATAAGTTTAAAAAGTAGTACAATGTGTTTTGAAGTTTTTGTACGTCGTGTCATCAGTGTCAACGTGAAACAATAACTTAAGAATGAATAGGTATGTATAAATTATAAATATTTAAAAATTAGTAGATTCGTTTAATATAAATATTCGAATTAAAGTAGAAATTCACTACCTATTTCGGATCTAAATATTTATAATAATGTTTAATTAAATTAAACATTTTTATTATACTTAAATATTTGTACCTCCATACAAACAAAATAAAATATAAATCTACGTTTTATATTATTTATATTTGATTGTATGAACTGTGAACATTTTATACATGACTAATTTATTTTGCCTGTAACACAATAAAACTTTTTGTTTACACCTAAATTATAAATTGCAAAGTTATGAATATTCCACCCATATGGTCATATTTAAAAATTTGCTAATATTAAAAAAAAATTTAAAAACTAACTTTAACATATTAAACATGTTTGACAACTCTATATGTTTTGATTTTTATTGAAGTTTTATGAAAATGTAATAATATGTTGGTAGGTAGGTACGTTTATTGTACTGCATTCGTTTTGACCAAAATATTTGTTATTTTGTACATTAAATTAATAGTTTATTGACTATATTCGTACACTGTACACTTGTCTTTTGTCAGCAATTAAATTTAGTATTTTGTGCTACACTCTATTTATTTTGATAGAATTTTATTAATTACTTAAGGCTAAAAATAAAATGATTTGTTCTTTATTAATCATATATTCATGATATTTTTTTAAATAACTTGAACAAGTGTTTTTAAATATTATGCAAAAATTCGAATGTTGTTTCCGAATTCAATGGTTTAACTTATAGACATTTTTTTGATTTTAGAATAACAATTTGAATACTTCCATAAATATTATGATAAAATTAAAACTTAGTTTTGTTGTGTCCATATATTATAAGTAACTGAATAGGAGACTGATTTTATATTTTCTTTATTTTTTTATTATTAGTGTCACAATAAAATTCTTAATACTTAATATATTAAAATAATATTAAACACGCATAATAAATAGATACTGAAATGACACAATTATTAATTTTAATAATTAATTATTTTTACAAATCAAAATTATTCTATATTTTATAAATAACCTAAAACAGTTTTCAGATAAAGTTCAGTTCATATCTTATTTTTACGAGCAGTTACAGAATGTATGTTACAAACTTCAATTGCATTAATTAGACAAGAAAAATTAGAATAATTATTTTAAATTAGCACAATAAGCGCAAAACAATATTTAATTATAATATAGTTTCGGTATTTATAATTTAACTTAACACCTGCATACTTTTAAAAAGCTCGAAAATCACAGTAGTGCTTATTAAATAACTGAAAAGTATAAACTAATTTTCAGCGATATCAATTCGACGTTTATGTACAAAACACGCTTTGTGTTTAAGACTCGTGTTCAGAAATTTTAAAACGATATTTTCCATCATAACTCATAATAATACGTGTTGGAGCTTCAATCTATGAATTGTCAGAATTCAATTTTTTTTTATTTAAAATATAAATATTTTATGCTTATTGGATTGGACTCAAATTTAAAAAAAATCAGAAATTCAGAAATTGAAAATAGTTTTAATACATATTTTTTTTATTCTTATACCTTTTTCAATGTTTTTAAATATGTTTTTATAGTATTTTTTAAAATGAATTCAAAAATCAGAGTTCGATTTGACCTGAACATTTCTTTCAAATAAAAAAAAAATGATCAAAATGTGACAATTCTACGAAAGCTGTGGTCGTTTTTGTTGTAAAATTATTTTTGATCGTTTAAATAATTTATTTTATTTTTTCTTAAACTTTATTGCCACCGTATCACTTAAATAAAAATTGCCTGCCTGCTTTCCCCTTTCAAATTAGCCGGCTCCGACTGCATTAAATGAAACGGGGTGTCGTGTATATTGTGAGTGCGTTTATTCGAGGGTGACCAAACAGTTAAGAACGGAATCTGTCACGGGTCGTCTTTAGGTAGCAGAACACCCACCTCGGGTGTGGTGTAAAAAATATTAAAAAATTTCGAAAACTGAAATATCAGAATAAGTGGCAGAAAGCCAAAAAAACGTAAAAGATCTCTTACCTGACTAGTTGATGACACGGGAGACTTCGACGTAGTCGTACGAGGGTCGTGACGATCGGCAGCAGTGGAATGATACAATATTATAATACCGTTGGAGGTCCGCCCGATCGCCGTTACGCACGCACTTATATACCGAGTCGGTTGGCACCGGGGACGGCCAAAAAGCGTAGCGGTCCTGCGTGCCAGACCTGTCGCCGGTGCCGCCCACACCGACGCGTCGACAGTCGGCCACGGGGGTTTTCGGGCTGGAAAAACCACGAAACGTCAAACAGTTTTTTTATTTTTATTCTATCGGCCTAATAAACCCCGGTCTAGCCTAATTTCCGTGACAAAATTAATTAAATGATATCGACGACGGTGTGCAAAAAAATGTGCATCAATACAGTATATAATTTATTCTACAGATTTAAAAATCTTAATGACTCCAAATCACACGTTTCATCAAATTTATTATACATTTTTAAAAAAATCAACAAGATACGTGCATAGAAAGCGGGTAGTGCGGTGAACTGTACACCCACTCGACTACCCTATTCGGTCAGAAAAATGTCAAGGAAATTGTTCATTTTTGGACAGTATATTTTCATATCTCCATTACGCAGTACCATACTAATCGTTTTAAATTCTTTGTAATAATTTATAATTTTAGAGTTTTATGTTCTATGTACGGGTAAATATCAAATATTGAACTATGTTTAGGTACCTACTTTTGATGGTATAAAGTTTTTTTTTTTTTAACTATAGAACAAATTCACTTGAAATATTATTGAGAATTGAGATTAGTGATTTAAGTTTCATAGTTAGGTTTGGTTCACAGAATCCGCTTCTAATATTAATTTTCACTTAAACTTACATACCGGGCAGGATGACAAGTACAGAAACCAGGTGTTGGACTAATTCCACCCATATAGCGTAATTGAAGAGTGGTACATTCATGTATTAGAAAGCAATGATCAATATTACAAAATTCGGAGAACAGCTCTTAAATGAATAAAAATCAAAATCCTGTACTTGCTAATATTTCTTTGATATTTTTCATAAGTTTTTCTTGCGCTTGGCAATATTTCTGAATTCTGAGAAAATCGGTGATTAGTCAACCATTGCAGGTTTAATTATTAATAATCAGTATTAAAGATACTTAAAGATTTTTTTTGCACGTTTGTCAACCCTAAATAGTACACAGCAAAAAAACATAATTTTTTTTGTTTCATATAGTTTAACAAAATTTCAGTAATATTCAAACATTATCTTTTGTATTTCTGACGTAATAGACCAAAATAAATTTATGAGTGATGTATAATATCATATCAGTTTAAGGATTACAATTACGGTTAGAAACTGTAAGAATTTTTATAACTCATACCTTATTATTAAATGGAATAATAATTGTAAATGTAAAATCATTTGTGGGGTTAAATGATTTTAATGGAAACTGAATAATTAATTGTATTTACTCAGTATAACTTATTTATTATTTCATTCTTCAAGTCTACACAATCCCAATTAAATATTAAGCTCTTTCTAATTCATATTCAGTTTATAAACAGTGTTTCTTTATTAATACTACAGTATAATTATTTACTAATTTAAAATTAAGTAATCTAGTTGATACATAACTTTATACTATTATCATTTATCACCATCTATTTGAAATTGATGAAATTTTCTTAATATTCAACATCTTCTACAATTCATTATATCTAATTATTAAGACACTTAATTCACTTTTTTTCCACTATATATTGTTGTAAATTAACTCATAATTCATTACATTTATATTTCAGTAGACACAAATGCAGATGCGTCGTATATGAATAGCGTGCATTTGTGATGAGAATAATATTATAATTAATCGATGTGCTTTTTTATGGCGATTTTAAATAATACACGTTACAAGTGTGCCTAATTTGTGAAATTCCGCAATATTATTAATATTTTTATTTATTTTATTATTTATGTTATTTGATTAAGTTATTATTATAAAAATGTCAAGTTTATTATTTTTAATGTAATATAAATAAAAAGTACAGAAAAACAATGTAGGTACCTGGTACACTCTATTATCACTAGTTGCAACTTGTAGCATGGACACGAGGAAAGGCATATCCGCTATGATTAGTTGATAATATTAATTCCCTACCACTAATCAATTTATTGTAATAATATATTAATTTATTAATAATTAGTCTCATAAATTGCATTTAACATTTTTACTGGAAACATATCGTAAGCAGTTAACAGACCTCTTCAATAATCATAAGTCATTGATACAGTGTATACAATAAAACAATGTAAATAATACTCGATTTTACTAAACGGCATATAACCATCGATTTTATACTTAATATGCATACTATTGAAATTTTGTTTAATCTTAGATAGGTATATACAATGTATAAAATGTCAGATATTGCAAATCAGTTATTCTAAATGTATTGATGGAGTATAAAAATGAAAGATACTATGATAGCAGACAATGATTTAATGACTGAATAATAGATCCCCATTACCTTTTTCAATGTTTAATATCTGATGACTATGAATTATACTTCTAAAAATTAAACAGTGCATGTGTAACCCCCCCCAATTACAAAATCAATTAACCAACACTGATTCCGAATATTATTATTTCTGTTTTTTCTGATGTTTTCAATTATTGCCAGGATTCATATTTGTTTTATTTCTCATAATTTTATATCTGAATACTAAGAATCAAATTAATGTTCAAAAGTAAGTTAAAAATATTATTCATTTATTTTTGTGTAATAATGCTTTCAAAACGCTGAGCGACTACGATTTCCTAAATTTACATTAATCTTGAACAACTCAACTTTATTATAACGTTTAAATTTCAGTTTATGTTAAATGTTTTAAGAGTTATAACATTTTTATTTACCACATAAAAGTAAAAAACTATTTAAAAATATATCATACACATTCATTGTTTTGACCATCAAAGTATATAACTATTACAGAATAAACTTAAATTGTAAAAAGTAAATTTAAAATTTAAATACTATATAACTTTCATATTACAAGGTATACGAGCTTTACGTGGATTTTATAGTATAAAATATGTCTAACTTTTTTTATTATTTAATATCTTTTACAGTCTTATGAAAGTTCTTTTGAATGTTTAAATAATTATTTTACATAACTATTACAATAACTAATGTGTGATCAATACTTATTTCACATCAGCTAAGAACCATATAATTGCCAAAACATAGGCTTCGTGTACCTAATACCCCTTTGTGCACTGTATTTATATAGTTAATATTTGTAATAACAATATTTTTTGAATAACTCAGTTAATTGAATTAGTGTCTCTCAAAACTCTCAACAATTCATATCATGCATACTAGAGTATGGTAGTGACCCACCTGCTACACACCGACTCAAGCGTGGACGTCCTCACGCTAAAATTTTATTTTAATTTTAATTTTCTGCTGATTTGTAAATAATTTAAAACGGAGCTGTTAGCACCTTTTATTACTAATATTATAACTAATAATTATTAGTAGTTAGTTATTACTTATTACACAAGCTACCAAGTACTAAAAATTATTTTGATTTTTTTCTATTGGAGTACTCCTATGGCAGACACAAGCATTACAAAATTAACTTAAGTCTTCAATCATTTCGAAACTCAATAATTAATTTCATTGTTCTATTAAACAAACATTTGCACCAAAATATAATTTATTATATTTTGTATTAAAAAATGTCTATTTATTTATAAAATTACTGTTTCATACATTTAACATTTATTTTTGAAATCAGCAACTAAAGTATCTAATATTTTTAGACAAGCAACACACTTACAAATTGTACTCCGAAAATCAACACACGATGCTTATATAGTTATATTTGAATCAACTAACGAGATAAACACAATATTATTTTATGTTCTTAAGCGTGAACCCATTTCTATAACAATAATGGTAACAATAATCATATAAATATGGAAGTACATTTAATACAATGCGTGCTTTAAATTAAATGTCGTTAACAACGGTGAAAATAATAAACTACTCATATACATTCACATAGCTACATATATTTTGTGCATAAATAAGTGCAATTCGCCATCAACGCGCTGTTAAACTACTTCTGCATTAGTGATTTACGCTTCTGCTTTTTAAGATATTACATATATAAAGCAAGGTACCTGCATATTGTCATATTCCACAAACAATAAAAGTAAAATCAGTATAATGTTAAATTACATTATTATGAATAGACATATACGCCTAACTACGAGTATATGTCTATTCGCTAAAATGTTCACAAGAACGATTTATTTATTCAACTCTATACTATGGTAATCGTGTAGAATCGTGACATTTGGAGTCAATAAGAAATCTAGTCATCACGTTTAAGGTTTTATGAAACACTTTTTAAAGGAACTATATTGTCACTTAAGAACTGCCAGAAAAATAGCTCACAGCCTCAAGCAATATTTAAAAGAAAGACACACAACGTCAACCAAAATGCATCGGATCCGTGAGAAATCTTTTTATTCGAAATTTAATATTACGTCAACCATTATCTAAACGTATAGGTTATAGAAATACAAAAATAAATAATTTAAAAAATGTTCTAAACTAATCAACTTTTACATACTTTGATACAAACGCTTAAAAATCTAATTGGAACTTTCAAAATTATTTAAATATAGATAATTACCTTTTTTTATTATTATTTTATGACCTCAACTGCATGGCTATTAATCGGTTTTTTCATGTATGGGATAATATGGTTGAATCGAAACACGTGTACGTATGGCAAAGATTTTTTACTAAAAATCCCAGATGGTCACCCATCCGAATGACACACCAAGCCACGATATACAATAACGTATTATGTTTTTAGATATTTTTCTTACTTAATTGTTTTGTTATTAAAATATATATGCGATTCATTTAATACTAAAGTAAAGTCTTGTATTAGTAACAGCGATGTATACAAATGTTAATATTATTATTAAAACTAATGATTTTAAAATCTTGCATATCAGAATAATATATTTATTAAAAATAAAAATTGAAATCAACTTATAGCTGTAGTGCTTACTGCTTAGCTATAATTTTGATAGGTAACTGTGGAATTGCCCATACGTTAATAT